TTTTCAATACTATATATGTGTAGATATACTTATCATACATATAAATACAATGTATTTTATTATTATTATGCTTGTGAATACAATATATTGCTACAAAAATATTATATACATGCGAATACACTTGTTATGTACACGAACATAGTGTAGTTCACTATTATTAATTTATTATGCACATGAATTAGGTCATATTCTATTACATAGATATTGTATAGACACTAATACACATTCACTATTATTAAGCGTACAAACTATGTTTCGTAATTAAGCAAAATCTCATTTTTTTTTAAAAAGATATCTAAATAGAAATAATATCAAACAAGTACATTTAAGAAAACCCAAATGTCCAATGAAATAGCACCATAAATTCCCTATCCAAAGCAGATGATGATAGGGTTCATCCCACAAAGGCATAAATGGGTGGTTCTTAATACTTTTGAGAGCTCCAAGAAATCTTACATTTCACTATTGACAATAAATATTTTTCAAAATATCCCAAATTTTAATTTTTCAGAAAAAATATACGTAATATTTTCTTCTTAAAATTAAAAAATTAGCCATTTATTTGGTACTCATCAGGAAAAGAAATCTTGTTTACTATTATTTTTTTTCGGGAGTTTTTGATTTTCAATTAAGTGAGAAGCAAATGGCCTCTACAACTTCCCCTTCACTTTCTCTCTCTTCTTCATCGACCCTCGTCGACGGCAAGACAACTCGTCAGTCCGCTGCCGTGGCATCGTCGCAATGTGTGACACTACCCACCCTTCCACCGCCGCCGGCCGTTCAAAGCCGTGCTGCCAGAACCACTGCTTACTGTAAGTAACATTATAACACGAGATTTTTTTTAATTCAAATTGTAAAAGGTTATGTTGAACCATTTCTTCTTAAAGTTGAAATGATGGAGAAAATTGTAAAACGAACATTGATTTGCAAATAATATTCACTGGCCAAGGCATGACATAGATAGTAGACAGTCAATTATCTTAAAACTAGTTAATCTGATAGACCAGGAAGAGAGTGCTAGTTCAATTACCTGCTATGCAATAGAGTAGACGGAGGATCTTCCAATCCTATAATAACGAAGTAGCTTCTCTGTTGTATGGGCTGCTCCATTGAAAACATAGTTTAAAATGTTTTGTTTATGTTGTATTATAGGACAATTTATAACAAAAGTTAGTTTGAAATTGTAAAAGTCGTAAAGAAACAGACTGGATCAAGCATTCAGAAAGAATGTATAAATTAGATTGGAGGAAGTAACTTGTAGTTTATACTAAAAAGTTAATAGTGTCTTTTGCTAGTGAATGTTGGCTACTCCACTCACTCATTGCCTTAAGGTTTTACGTTGGATGTTCAAATTCTTTCATACCTTTGTAATTTCCTTGATGTTGATGTGCTGTGATGCAGGTAGAAAGATTGCAAGGAATGTGGCCGCAATGGCTACATCAACTGGAGAAGTTGCCACAGCAGAGGCCACAGGAGAAACGGCAACCACTGAGCTACCATCAGAGCTTGTCCAAAAAATTCAAGAAGTTGTAAGGACATAATACGTACTACTAGCTTTTTCAGCTTTACTTGTTTCTTGATTTTCTCCCCCTTGAATATTGATACCTATCTGATTTCTTCTTTTAGTGGGACAAAGTTGATGATAAGTACGCAGTCAGTTCATTGGGTGTTGCTGCATTTATTCTGCTTTGGAGCTCCACTGGAGTGATCTCGGTACTGCTACTAATTGCTAACTTAGCACTTTTTTTAGTTCCATTTTAGTTCAGGTGTTGCAAACTATAACAAACTTGACAAAGGGACTTGCTTAATTGTGGCAGGCAATTGACAGGCTTCCTTTGATTCCTGGTGTTCTTGAGCTTGTAGGAATTGGTTACACCGGTGTAAGTTGAAATATTTTCACTCTTAGCCACTACTCTGTATGTTGTAACCTGAATGCTCTATAACCAATAATTACACTGATAGGGTAAAAAATAAACGTTACACTTAAGTTAAATCCTTTCTTTGAACCATATTGCATAGGCATTAGCATCAGATTTCATCAATGCTTCTTTGGTTAAGCTTTGAACTATATAATCGATCACCATGTTATCTTGAACTCATTTACACGTTTTTGGGGGATCTTCCCTTCCTTTGCAGTGGTTTGCCTACAAGAACTTGATCTTCAAACCCGACAGGTAATTTCCGTTTCTTTGTATATGAACTAGTGGAAGCTAAGTTTATTAATCATTCCTTTGTGTTCATCCTACCTTACCTCTCTTCTTATTACCTTTTGCTGCTAACAGAGAAGCTTTGATAGTAAAGATCAAGGAATTGTACAAGGATATTCTTGGGAGCAGCTAAACGGAAACAGAGTCCCGATGCTGCTGCAGAGACATGATCAAAATAGATTTCAGTTGAGCAATCTTGCAGCTTTGCTCTTCAAAATGTAAACTCTGCTTCGTTCTTTTGCTATCTTTTTATTCTAACAGAATAAAATCCAACTGAACTATGTCTATATTATGTGCTTATCTGTATATTGTCTTTTCATTTCCTCACCTTCAATATGTTTTCATTAGCAGTTGGAAGTTAATGTATATCAATGCTTTCAAGTAAATCCATATCTTTGGTAATTCAATGGCTTAAAAGAACTTGGACAATAAAACACGTTACTATGGTTATTTAGTCAATAGCAGTGTTATCAAAGGCGCGCTTTAAGCGCGCTTAAGCCCTGAAGCAAGGCTCAAAAACATGTTGAGCGCTTCGCCTCGCTTTATGTGCGCTTCAGTGTCGTCATCAAGGTTCTAAGACAAACTTTTCCTTGCCAATGGGCCTCTTATGAAGAATTGACACTAAACAATTGATATTTCACTTTATAATAAAAAAAAATTGATTTCATTGGTCATATATTTGTCATTCATGTTTATAATTATTAGTCTTGAACTAAACTTATATATTTGTATTTTTTTTCTCCCTTTGCGCCTTTTTTCATTAAAGCCCACGCTTTATTTGCGCTTTGCGCTTCATGCCCCCATGGACCTTAGAGCTTTTTTGCGCTTTTCGCCTTCAATAACACTGGTCAATAGCTATACATTCAAATTGTTATGAGGCAATGCCTCATCCTAGCAGGGAGATTGTTGACTACGGGCTCGGCTGAACCCAGTAACTTTGGCTCAAACTCTATGTTTGTTTCTAAAGTTAATTGAATCTGTACAAATTACTCCCAGTAACTTAAAAAGATTAGAATCTAGAACCCAACAACAACAATATATCAGTGTAATCCCACAAATGTGGTTTGGGTAGGGTAGGGTAGGGTAGAGTGTACCTAGACCTTACTCGTATCTCGTAGAGAGAGCGGTGGTTTCCTAAAGCATCTCAAAGCAGTTTGAAAAAGGAAATATGAAAATGAAAGTAGTAACAATAATGAAATAATGTGACATGGACAACAGTAAATAGCATACATGAAAAAAAAAGAGTAGTAACAACAACGAAATAATGTGATACTGAACCACAAGAAACACAGGTGGTAACAACAATCGAAGAACAAGAACCTACGAGAATAGTGTTAATACTATTGGTAAGAAAGTAGGAGATACGACCACCTAGCCTATCCCACAGGGAAGAAAGAGAATGCTCAACTACCAACTAACTTTCTATTCTAATCTGCGACCTCCAAACCCTCTTATCTAAGGTCATGTCCTCAGTAATCTCAAGATGCGTCATGTCCTTTCTAATCACCTCCCCCAATATTTCTTCGGTCAACCTCTACCTCTCTAAACACCCACCATTGTCAACCTCTCACACCTCCTCACTATGACATATATACTTCTCTTCATAAGCCAAAACCATCTCAACATTGCTTCCCTCATCTTGTCCACCGCCACCAAGGAAGCCACTCTCACTGTTTCTCGGATATCTTGATTCCTAATCTTATTTTCTATTATGCCCACACATCCACCTCAGAATCTAGAACCCATATACATAATCATAAATCTTCTATCAATTTGTTTACCAAACAGAAAAACAAACTTGTAAATCCAAATCATGTTTCTGCATGTTCTCTCCTGAATTGGCAGCAAAACAGTACTAGCTAAATGCAAAATTCTGCAGCAACCATGTAATCCTGTTTCCATATTGTTCTTGAGCCAAAACACAATTGCATTGTGAACGCATAAGTTTATTGGAATTAGTTGGAGTGTCTGCCACAAAACTATGAACAAGAAACACCATTAACTCGTAGATATATTCATTTAGCTTCTCCTTCCCCAGGAGTGTGGAGAACAAATTATGTCTTTAAAGCGTTTACTAACTTATGTCTTTCATATACCCCTCATGTGCATGTCTTTTTCTTTTTCATTGGCAAAGCAAATTCTTTTTGATAATATTTTGATAATAGTTAGTGGGAGACTCAAACATAGGACCTCTGCTTACTCTAATACCATGTTGAATTTTGCGATCATCTCAGCTAAATGTCTTAATGGTTTGAGATAGCACACTCTTATTTACTGAATTGTGTCTTCAATAAGTCTTTATATGATGGTTGGCAGATATAAGAAAAACTACTAAGTTACCCTTTTAAAAAAAATATAAGAAAAGCGTAAGTTACCCTTTCAAACAAAAATATAAGAAAAACTTTTCTTTGATCATACTTCCTCTGTTCTTGTAATGCTTCTTAACTATAAACCAAACCTTTACTGATTAGACAGCACCGTATGAATTAGTATAATTGACAGGTTCGGATTGGACGCGATCAGTCCAGAAATAACCGTCATAAAAACTTTAATCATACTAGAGTAAGTTGCCATTTTAGTCCCAACTGCCTGTATGTGGATGTGGAGACTTTCTATACCATTACTCCATCCATTTCATTTTAAGTGAAGTACGTGTTTCAGGCACAAAGTTTAAGAAGAAATAATAAGATTTTTAGTATTCGTGGTCTTAAACATATCATGGCATTTCTTTTTCCAAATACAAAAAAAAAGTGTTAAACGAACTAAAAATGAAGGTATCACATCAAATGGAACTGAGGAATATATAAATATTACTTATTAGGAATACTAGGATATCAATGAAATTTGGACAAACGTTACAATGATATCCTCTCAAACTACAGAAACAAACAAGTAGTAATATAAATATTATTAGGAATCAATGTCAAACATTCAAGCTGGGCTAAGTTACAAATTCCAGTCCCAGAGTGCCATAAAAATACATAATCATAAGAGCCAAGTAGGTTGTGGAAATCTACTTGTAAAATTCCATGACCCAAAAATTACAGACACAACATATTAGGTTAACGCCTTTGAATCCAGCTTCACTTGCCAATGCCCGAAACTCCTGTTCAGAACGCTCTTTGCCTCCCGGATTCTGAGCCATCATGATCAAATCACATTGTGAAACTCCAACAACTGTGGTATCAGTATCAGGTTTCACTGGCAGATTGGCCTCCACAACAATCACCTTTCCGTTGTCCGGTAGAGCCTTATGGCAGTTCTTCAGCAATTTGAGGCAGTGACCATCACTCCAGTCATGAAGGATCCACTTTTCATCAATAAACACCAGAATGTCCTTGTTAATCACAGGTTATAGATACCATTGGTGAAGAACAGGGAATGCAAGACTATGCAAGTAGTTAAGTTCTAGCTGACACAAATTGTACGAGACTTCTTTTTTATTTCACAAATTGGTCAACCCAAAGTTTGTGATCCCAAAAGTATTTGGATTTGGGTCCGCTAATTTGTGAAACAAAAAGAAGCCTTACATAACTTGCATTGGTTATGTGAGGTACATGATAAAGTTTCTTGAAGGTGTTTGACTGAACATGAAATCTAAGAAATTAAAGAAAACTTTTGACATGTAAGCCAAATATATGCACGGTACATAAATACTGCCTCTGCTAAAGATTTGGACATTACCTTCATAAAAATAGCATCTCCTTGTGGAACACTTTCAAACATATCCCCCCCAACATGATCCACCCCTGCAATATTTATCATTACAAATTCAGTTCATGTTAGGAGGAATTGACAGAGCTCTACCATTTTAGAAAATCTATCGATTAAATAATCTCGTCATTATTTAAACCTCGTATTATAATCTTTGTATAACTTATTTGCAAACTAAACGACCCATTGGTTTGTAATATAAATCTAACATTGAACCAAAGTATCAAAGAACAATAAAACAAGAATTAGGAATTAAGGTACCAGTATAGGAAGGTGCATGTTGAACAACATGAGGCAAATCAAAATTAGTGCCCTTAATTGTGGGATATTTAGATGTAATCATCTTGAGATTAACTCCGAGACCACCTCCAACATCAACCAAAGTTTTGAGATTCTCAAAACCTTTGTAATTTTCAAGTATTTTTTTCATGACAACAGTTGTGTGGTTGATCATTGCCTTGTTGAAAACATCATTGAACTTTGGGTCCAATTTTGGATATTCAAATGCATGTACACCATGCACCCTGTCAAATGGAACTCCACCTTCAAGTACTGCATCTTTTAGTTCAAACCTGTAATTTAAATTAAATAGATTGAGTCAGAAATACAACAACTATAATTACGCCTCAGTCTCATCTGGAAGCAATTAATTCCCAACCATCTAGACCACTTCACACTTAATTAGAAATCTCCAATTCGAGCTAGGAAATGGAGCCATTCACTCTGTAATAGGCCCTATGCATCATGGATTTGAATTAGTCGGCCTAGTGAGTTTTGGATACTGGATGGTTCGACACAAAAGCTCTAATATATACTGAATTTGTTTGGTTATACTAGGATGGACCACATACAATTGACATGATAAAAATTTGGTTGAAATTTAAGAGTCTTGTGATAAAAAAAGGTAAGATTGCTGCAGTAGAAAGACAAAACCGACCAGCTGTTAATGAATACTTTATCTTGAAGCAAAGCCAACAATGGTCCCATGGATGCACCATCTTCATCACGTACAAAAAATTTCCCCACTTCTGACAGACCATAGCGCCTTTCCGTCACCCCATTTCCCTCCTCAACAACAGAGCAATTGAGTAAAGAATAACTAGCTAGGACATAAAGCATCCGGTCTAGCATGGTAGCGGCATCAGAGTTCTTACAGTTAGGCATGTGAGACACAATTTCTAAAGCAGATAGTTTAGTGGCTTTATCTTTTGCGAGTATCTCAAAAACATCCAACTGAATCGCTGAGTGCAACACGAAGGGAAGCACTGACGATGAGAGTAGTTGCATGGCGTACGTGCAATTACGCTCTTCGTCTTCGGATTGTGTTGGTAACTGGATATTTGCTGTGGATCCCATGGCTGAAAAAACCTTAGAGATGAACAAGAAATATGAGCTAAGAGTTAATGTAATTTTATTTTTTTGGAGTGTTTTGTTAGGCCTCAAGATGATGTATAATGGGGTTAGAGTACCCTTTTATAAGTATCAAACCAAGAATTGTTGTTTTTGTCAAAGATTGGTCATCATTGATTTCTTGGTGGGAATATTGGTTGAATTATTAATGTGTCTGCCATTCATTCGTTTTTTTTCAATTGCGTAGTGGCATTCTATTGGTAGCCATATGCAAAGGCGAAAGTATACCCCACTTAAAAAAACAAAGAGAAATTAATGACACATAAAATTTTGTAGTTAACAATTTTTTTTTATGCTAATCTCATTTAGTTATAAATTAGTGGACGGATTATAAGAAAATTTATCTAGGATCTATTTATGGATGGATAAATTATATAGCTAATTTTTTTTTTCTTTCTAGTAGTGGTTCACCTAAATTCAATAGTTCTTTTATTCAAATGTTGAGTACTCTTTCTGTTTTTATTTTAAAGCTTAAATTGTTATTATATATATATATATATGTGTGTGTTATTCTTTTTGTTACTGATTAAAAAGAAATTTAATCATATAAATGGAGATAGATGAAGTATATATCGCTCCCTCGGTCCCATACTAAACTCCTCCATTACAAAAAACATAAAAACATAAGTGTCCCTTCTCGGGTTTAGCTCTTCCGATGTGAATTTCAGCCTTTAGGGCAAAAAGCTAGACACACAATCACCTTTTGAAAAAAAGGAAAAAGCTTGAAATACACTCCACAATCAGTGACAACTACCAAATACAAACCTCGAAATAAGAAAAACGTGAAAAATTAAGAACTATCCTCAAATATCTTAGCAAAACCCACCTTTGATTTTGAAATGGCCTGTTATCAACTTGATTCACACGTTAGCACTTAAGCTGCAATTTGATGCTTGACACAGATTCTTAGCAGCGGCGGATCTAGTAAGGCCTAAGGGGTGTCACGTGACACGACTTTGTTGATTTTTTTTTGCTAAATATGCATATATAATTAAGATGGATATCTTATTAAAAATATTTGTCTCATATTATTTGATCACTTACTAAATAAAGATAGAATTATTAATTTTTTCTCATTTTACCCCAATAATTAATACTACCTCCGTCCACTTTTAATTGTCATAATTTTCCTTTTTAGAGTCAAACTATAAAAACTTTGACTAACAATTTACGATGTATTTTTTATCATATTGATAATTTAAAAAATGCAATTTATAGTACTTTTCATATAGTTTTTGAATATCTGTTTTTTTTTTGTTTAAAATATCAAATTAATGTAATCTAATTTAACTCGGAAAATTAATCAAATTGACTTTCGAAAAGTGCAACATAACAAATAAAAGTGGACGAAAGGAGTATGACCTTTAAAAATTTAAACAAATTTTGAACATCTAAGAATTTTTTTCATAGAATTGCACTTATTTTTCAGGTTACTAATTAATTTTACATTTTATGAAAGCTAAAACTTTGAAGTAGTTATTTTTGTTTAAGAAATGTATTTTAAACCTTATTCAATTTTAAAAAATTAATTTTGAAAGTGTTAATTACTAGTAATATTATTTTTTACAATAAATTACAGAAATCCCACCTTTTAGTTTACTTATTATCATTATCCCCTATAAGTTTTACAAATCTCCAAAATCCCTCATTTTCGCGCATCAGATTAGTGTATCAGAGCTTATATTATTGTATCTCGCGCATCAGATTAATGTATCAACACTTATATTATTGTATCTCGTGCATCAGATAAATGTATCAGCGCTTATATTATTGTATCTCGCTCATCAAATTAATGTATCAACGCTTATATTATTGTATCCGTTTGAAAATTTTCTGTAATTATAAACTTTTAAGAAATAGATTGTAATTTTACCTTAAAAGTATGTGATTTCTGTAATTTGCCCAATTTTTTATCTCACGTTCTTGACTGAACGAAGTAGTAGTGGGTCGCACCTTTTCCTTCTTCCATTGTGCACTGTTGCTTCCTGTATATGTGAGTTGGTGGTATGTATAGTTATTATCTTTTTTGTTTTTTAACTATTTTTTTGTGTTTACTTTTTGGTAAAAGAATAATATAATTTTTAAAAAAAGTCAGTGAAGCACAAGGTCCACTAAAATAAGTGGAGAGTAGGCCACTTAACATGTGGGAAATTAGTTGGTTTGCTGGCTGCTTTACTGAACAAGACAATCGTCAAGCATTTTCTTCATATTTTCCTCATGTAATATACTATAATATGTTTTCTTCACCAAACCATCATATTAACATACAATTAGTTAATTGACTCAAAGATAATTAAATACATAAAGTTTGTTTTCTCTCTTGACTTTTAATAATAGATATACAAATTCCTATTGTATCCTCTTTAAATTCTATTAATTTACTCGTCATTACTTTATTAAAATTGTGAAAAATAAATTGTGAATACAAACAATGTCATAATCTACCTAAAGTACAATATCGATATTTACAAATTTTATTTCTTTATTATATTTTTTAATATGTTCACGGATAATATGATCACATTATATATGAAGATACATTGAATGTGTGATAGATTTTTTTTTCCTTTGATAAGTTACTGCTGAAATTTGACTACATATTAATTTACTATAATTGGACAAATATTTGTTGCAAGAGATGAATGTATTACTAACCAACCACTTCTATTTAGTGATGACATATGAAGATACATTTCAATTTCATGTGTGTTATTTTTTTACCTTAATAAGTTATTGTTGAAATTTGCAAGAAAGAGTCTTCAACTAGACACTTTTCCTTTTTTTTTAAATAACTAAATTTAAATCTTTGTTTGGTATAACAAAATAAAAAATAAAATAAATATATATATTCTTCTCAACCAAATCATGAAACTTCCTTTATATTATTCTTTTTCAGTCCACTTTTTCTTTGTGATGATTTAAAGTTGTTGCACCTAACATTACTAGATTTGTTTTTCAATCACTTTCTAGATGGAAAGATACCTACGTAAGGTTTTTTTTTTAGCTCCGTAAGTAAGTGATGTTTACCATTTTGAATGATTCTCTCTTGTCACTCTAAATAATCCTATTAATGCTAATCTTTTTTTAATTCTAAACCAAATTCCACAAGAGAAACTTCCTCACGCTACTTATTGTCCCATAACTAACTAGTATCTTGGCTAATGTGCTTCAACAAAATAGTAAAAACACTAAATAAAGAACACATTAATTTTCTGTAAAAATATCCGGCTCACAAAAGATGTAAAAATCACAACATGTACATCTACAACATTTAACCACAACTTTATTTAACCATAATGAGCCTTTCAACCAGAGATTACAAACATATGTAACATAAAAAATTGTGAACTCTAATTCTTAATAACTCACAAGCCTCTTAAGGTATATGTTCTCAAGTCTTTAAGTTATCCCAACTTACCCATTTCATGTCACTTTGTCAATCATCAAAACTTTATATAACCTAACATGACTTTGAAAATTCAACTGCTCCTCCACTTTGTATTTTATACTTCTTCTTTTTTATACTTGAATTTATAATAAATTTTATCAAATTAGGTTGCACGATAATAACATGCTCAATGACTTTTTACACCGAATTGATGGCAAAAATAAGTATTCTTCCATGCATTTGAAGCCACATAGTAAGTATTTGTTGTGGGACTCTCATTTCTATAAAAAGAAATATCCTAAATGTAGTATAAATGAATACAACATATCCAACGGTGATCCTTCTAGTTCCCAGCAAGTTTTAGACACTGCAACCTTATTCTAAATTGCTAAGATGAGTAAGTTTAGGAGTGCACAATGTATCTCAATCCATCAATGCCTATTTGAATTGTATTAATCCCTGACAATATGTAACTCCTATCGTCAGAGGCATATTCATATTCATATTTTTGAGAGAATGGTGCATTATTACAAAATAAGTAACGGGATACAAAAATTAAAGACCACCAGCAGAAATTAAAAACCACTTTAAAATAAGGCAAAACATGATAAAAAGGAGCTTCATTCTTCTCATAAAGTAAGGTCATATGCAATTGTTAGCCCATATTCGCTGAGGTCTGGCCCAATTATGTTGGATTCTATTCCATTTTATTTTGGAAAGTTAATTAATGGCATCATATGGTAACTTAGCTCACTAAATGGGCTCATAAAATAATCTAAGTTAACGAAATTGGCACCCGATAGTATAACGTAACTATATTCATATTTCATGCTAAAAGATTAGTATTTCATATGCTAGAACTAAACCCGTTAAAATAATTGTACAATTTCAAAAACAAATCGCTCTTCTAAAGGTTTTATCCAAATACCTTTACAAATTTTCTCTCCAAATGTCTATCTTTATATCTGAATTCTTATATACCATGTGTATATGAGTATATTCATGAATCTACTTTATTTATATTCTGATACAGTATGATATACGCATATCCTAATACATGATATATAGTATGATACGCGCATAATTGTTACTATTATACATAGTTTCTCTATTATTTCTTCTTCACTACGGTAACATTTAGGAAATAATCTGTCATCAAGATGCAGGTGTTCACTTATGTTTTCTTGGAGGAAAAAAACAATTCCCTAGGCGTTTGGATTTCATTTTTTATTTTTTTATTTATAAAAAAAATAAAAGGATATAGACACTCAAAGAAGATTCGTGAACTAAATTTTTTTCAAAAAAGCAGTCGCCAAGTGGCGTCTTGTGCAACCACAATTTCTCTAGTGACAAAATTTGGATCTCACGAACTTCCTAATAAAGTAGCCAACACGCGCTCTTCCCGACATTCCACGTCATCCATATGGCCCCACATTTGATTACGTGGCAGCACTTTTGTTACCTTTTCTCCTATAACTGAGCGAGTTAATCCACTCAACTCGGTTTCCAATTGAGTCCAACCATGTTTGTGGTTGAGATTACGATTTGTAACCCTTCCGCTTTCTATCGTTTCGAAAAAGTGCAAATTAGGTCCCACCGAATAGACACAAACCACTCATATACAGACGCGTGGAATTTCTTCTACTTGCTCTTCTCCCTTGTTCATTTTCTAGCCTC